GTCTTTTTTGTTGTTGAAGAAAATAAAGCAGATTTGATCAAGCAGATGAGGGTCGAGGAGCTGCGGAGGGTGAGTGAAGCGCTAACAGTATCTGCTCCCTGATGCCAAAGGCCATGCCAGGGGAGTCGGGTCCAGGCTGGAGGAGGGGAGCTGCCAAGGACAAAGCCCTCCTCCATGGAGGTTAAGAGGGGGGAAAAGGAGTGTATTTTTTCTTTGGGTGCTGGGGTAACTGTAATTTTTTTTTGTAGGAATGACTTTAAGGGGAGTTCTCGCTATGTGGGAGTTTTGGTTGGAATCGTAGATTTTTTTTTTCCTCTTACAGACTCTGGTTTGGTTTGTGGAAAGGCTCTGGGAATGGTGTGTGGAAATCTACAATGTGAAAACAGTGAAAACACACACCGACAATCAACAGGGGCACTTATGATTCTGGAGGTCCCCGACATCTAAAGGCATGCTAGATGGGTAGAAAGTTAACAGGCGCACAGAGGAACTAAAGACTTTACTGCAATAACAGGCAATGCCCCGAAATAATGGACATTAAGGACCGGCACTGCGTGGAGGACAAGAGGACAAATTAGAGACATAGAATGGACTCCACTCTTACATCGTGTACTGCCTCTTTGGAGGAAATGAGATTCATATTCAGGACTAAAAGGATTACAGGAAAGAGCGCAAGAGGGGAGAAAAAGAGTCTGCAGATAGGTCCAGTGTTATTGAAAAAAATAAATAAATAAAAGATTTTTGGGGGTTGCTATGGGAGCGTTGAGGTTTTGGTATCCGAGGCATGCTGCTGTGCTCTAATCCTCCATGCACATGGGCAAGTTGACGAAGGTGAAGACGTTGTACTCGATCATGACGGAGAAGCAGAGGAAGATGGCGTACAACACCAGGACGTAAATGCCCAGCTTCACGTCCAGCCGCCATTTGTTCAGGTGGATCCCCAGAATCTGCACATACACAAATACATTAGAGGGGCTTGTGCCGGCTCAGGTATGCTCCACATAAAACCTTGCTGTGCACCTTTAATGAACGCACCCTGAACTGACTGAATATCTTACAACTTACCTGTGCAGCTAAATCATGATATGCAAATCTCATTCTAAAACTGTAAGCCACAAGAGGCATTTTATGACCTTTGATGAGTAATTACACTACAGCAGTGCGTCCATCTTTCTTTCACTGCTGGAAAGATGGTCTTTGCAGAAAGAACTTTTGAAATTGGTGCAACATGACCAGAGAAAAGTGAGAAAAAGAGCTGTTGCATTTGCTGTCAGTCAAGAAGTAGAAAACCTACAACTACCAGAATGCACTGCCAATAAACGCTCCCACTGGTGGGCATTGACGGTGAGCTAAAATATGTTTCTGACAACATTTTAGGCGAGAAATCTGTAATGCAGTGAAAAAATCTTGGTTTATACTTGATCACCGCTGCCTCATTTTACAGTTTGACCAGAGTTTGCTCTGAGTTTGTGTCCATGGCGGCCACAGGCATACAAAAATAAACATGTATAATCTGTAGTTTGAGCAACGGCCCCTAGAGCCCGAGCCCATCTGGACGCCGGCAAGATGAAGGAAAGTTTACCACAGTTCATTCACACATACTACCCACATTATGATACAAAGCTGATTCAAAATTGGCAAAGTATCCCTTTAAGAGTTTCTGTAGCTGGCACATTACTGATCTGTGTGTGTTTAAGGTGCCAAGGTTGGAAAAACATTGACAAACTGAATCACTGCAGTTTTTTTCCCAGGGTTATATTTTTATTCAAGGATTCACTGTGAAATAGAAACTTATGCAATTCAGAGTTCTGGTCAGAAGTTTCTAATTTATTATTGAACGCTGTGTAACTACTTGAATTTTGTTCTGCTCATTCCAGAAAAAAATGCTTTACCTCCTTTGCACCAGAGTATTTTTCACAGGAAACACCCCGAGTGTTTGCAACGCTGAATTTTTACATTTTGATGAACCAATTACATAACTTGGCTCAGTCACTGTTGCATAACAGTGGATCAATCCTTGATGAGAGATGCTGCACAGGGGTGTTATTATCTATAATAAAGCACTGTGGATTTTTACTTTAAACACACACAGTAGCCTGGTTATGTTCCTGGATGGGGTCAACATGACCGGTGCAGCGTAAACATCATTTACTCACCGTGAGGGCGACGGAGCCCAGCAGAAGCACCACCGAGTACAACAGGCCCCGGCTGTTAATCATCACCTGCGACACACAGAGACATAAACAATCTATCTTTATCAGCTCCTCAACATTAGACATAAAAACCAACTGGATTTTGGTTGGGGTTTTTTACAGTCAGAGTAAACAAGCTCCTCACCTCTGATCCATAGCTGACACACATGGTCTGTAGCGCCCAGGGGACCCCCAGTCCCACAAGAATATCAAACACGTTACTGCCGATAGTGTTGGACACTGCCATGTCTCCCAAACCTGCAACAAAACCAAAAAAATCTTTAAAAAGCAGCTAAAACTTAGAGCACAGATATACAAGATTTTCATCTGCACTTAGAGGTCAAAAAAACATTTTTATTTCCAACTGAAGATTAACGTTTTGCTGTTCTGTACTTTGTGATATTCACAAGGGCCCTAACCTTCTTTCAGCTGCAGGTAGTGACACAGCCGGGCTACACTGCGATGTCTATAAACAGCTTTGCACTATTCCCTCTTGTTCCTGTGCTTACTTCCTACTTTTTCGACTTCTCTATATGTTACATTTGATTTGTAAATGCTAACAAAGCTTGTAAGCTAACACTTTTCTATCCATCCGTCTATCCACTTAAGAATAGGGACATCCCAGTGAGCACTTTCACCACAAAAGGCCCTGGTGCCTAGTGATACAATAATGTGCAACACGCAGCAGTCTAAAAATGTTTCAGACAGAAAGGTGTACCTTGCCGAGCCACAATAAGACTAGCTATGCAGTCTGGGACGCTGGTGCCTGCTGCCAGGAAAGTGATGCCCATGATGACATCAGGGATTCCCAGAGTGTAGCCGATTATAGTCACCTGAGAGAAAATTACAGAGTGTTAGAGCTCAAAAATAGCACCAGCTGAATGAAAAAATAGCATGTCAACCTTCACACCAGATGCCCATATTTACAGGGGACCCATTACTGCTTTCCTTATTTTCTATCCTATAAATAACGTCACAGTGTCGGATGCTCATATTAAACATGGCCAAAGTTTCATAGCCAAAAACCTCAGTCTTCAGGTGTCTGAATACTCCGTTTCCTATGTTTGTATTCTAGTTTTTCTAGTTTTCGCAATGACCTCTCAGCACCCTACTGCAAGTGCTTACTAATCTTGGTTGCCAGTGCTGTTGATTTCTCCCCAGTTTTGAATCACATTCCTGCTGGAACATTTCAGGTTGTGAAGCTTTATTTGTGATTTTTTTTAATGGTAGAAAGTGCTGCTGTGCTCTCATCACTCCCCGGCTGCAACAATGGTGCAGAGGTGCCGAGATAAGTGGAGCTGAAAACACTGATCAGTCAAAGCAGACTGGGCTTTTCGGAGCGTCTCAGACAGAGGGTGAATACAGGTGTTCCAGCGCAGACAGTATGAGGAAAATAGAGAATGTTTTGACCATTAACACACATAAACATGTTTTGTAGAAATCCACAATATAAACAGGAACCAGAAATAAGCACAATGGGTCTCCTTTAATGTTCCCTTACTTAGCTGCAAATGTTTAAACCTCAGAGTCACAATGGTTCAGATAACATTATTAAATCCACCATTTTGACAGCAATGATAAGATTATAAAAAAAATGTAGTTTTGATACTATGCCAATTCATTTTTGCAATATCCTTTTCTGATTTGTAATCACTTAGGATAGGTTTATAAACTGTTATCAAGTTTCTATTAAGTGCTTATAATGCTCCTATATGCAATAATAACGGTGTTAATTATGCTATAGTTATCACATATATTCTTATTAATGGTAATAAACATCTTATTCTGTCTTATAAGTGCTCATTAACTGTTAATAGGTGCTTATTAAGCATTAATTAACACTTATTACAGTACCTTAACAAAGTGTTACCGAAAAGAGTACTGTAAATAATAATGTCCATTGATTTTATCTAGGGGCCTTGATGGAGTTTTTAAATTTCTTTTCTTCAACCAAAACTCTCAACACCAAAGATTTTCAATACACAGTGATGAAAAACAGAAGAACAGCTGGAAACAAAGTACGTCTGCTCAATAATTTAACTACTCCACCAAGCAAAAATGGCATTTGAGCACTGGTACACTACAGTGAGTAAATCCTAAAGCTGTCCTGGTGATGCCTCACAGTCTCACTCACCATCCAGACCATAAAGTAGGAGAAGATGGCAATCCAGACGGTGGACAGGAGGAAGGAGAGCATGAAGAATTTCTCCCAGCGAGGCTTGGCACAGTTCGGGACAGTGAAGAACAGCAACAGCAGCAGAGGCCACGAGATCAACCACTTCAACTTGCTGCCAATGCCCCCTGCAGCAGGGATACACACATTAGACAAGAGATTAGCTTCCTGCTCTTTAGCAATTTGATGGAAAAAATTATTGCCTAAATGAAATACTAAATGCTACTTTCTTAGAAAGATGCCAAAAGACGTTGTTTAAAAGAAAAAATACATCACAGTTTAAATAATTACTATCAACAAATACCATGACCGTGATGACTTGTAGCCTCTCTCTCTCTCAAGTCGGCAGCACTGTTCAAACCACATTATCCACAAATCTCAAATTGCAGCTGGATTGCTGACGTCATTCTAAGCAGACATATTGTCCTCTGTCTGCTGTAAGCGCCAACAGAATATGCATTTTTCCCACATTTTTTATTTGAAGTCACTGACTCATTCAAGCGAGGACATCAATAACTACTTAAGTAGAAAGCTGCGTATCATGCTTATTTCAACTTCTTAAAATAAGCAAGACAGTAAGACATTAAATAGATTCATAAATATGTCAAAGATGTTGTAAAAATGACATTATTCCTACATTATTCATACACCCTGAAGAATCCATCCATGTCTGCTAAATTACACAGACATTCATCGGCTGAATACACGAATCACGTACTTGGAATGTGAAATGGCGAGATTGTTATGTTCTCCTGCGTCTCGGTGGGTTTGTCCTCTGGCACGTTTCCATTCTCGATCTCGACCTTCCCGTCAATCACTTGTGTCTCCACACCATTGGCAGCTTGGACCAACTTCTGACGCTTTCAGAAAAATGAAACTAAGTCAAAGAGCACATGAGCAGGCACTCTGCTGCTCTGACTGTGACGCTACTGCCATGTTTTTTATGCATTGTTGTTTCTGCATTTATAAATGAAAAACATAAATACATGAACACTGTGTGAGGGAGATAAGGAGACTCTGAGGCGAATTAAAAACTTCTTGAAAGTAAACTCAGAGCAGCAGCAGATATATGATCGTACTGGGGCAACAACGCCCTGCTGTACCTCTGTTATGATGAGGCGGCTGGCCATGCGCAGACGGGTCTTGGGTCCAAAATGGCTGGTGACCATGACACGGAGGCCAGCTTCTGGGAACCTGAACTTTGTAGGGCTGGCGTTCATGATCTCGTCCACCATCACTACTGATCCCCGGCTGTAAGCCTTGGTGGGCTTGACTGAGGGGTGCAGGGATGTGATGCAAATATAAAAAATAATAATTTAACTGACAAATTACCTGTGTTTCAATCATACTAGCAAGGAACTGTTTTCATCTGTTTCTATCTATTTGATGTGTTTTATTCAAATGCATGTAATTAAAACCTTCCTGATGGTGAACTGTGACACCCTGTTGGAGCATCCTAGACTGCAAATTAAAACTTGAGAGTAATTAAAACTTAAGAGGCATCAAGAGATATGCACTGCACTAAAAAAGTTTGTAGTGTCATTTTGTAGGCTGGAGCACTCCAGCATCACGGGCCAAATTAATGAGGAGTATTAATGGGCGCTAAATCAGTGCTATTTAGTCACCATGTCAAAGCTGCACCAGGCAAGATTCTTATGTCAACACACACCATACTATTACCTTAAATCACAGCGTGGGCTCAGGAATCCGTAAAACATAGTATTTCACCTGGATGGGCGTGGCTTTGCATGACGCAGCAGTGCATGCTTCGTCTCTACACTCCAGGCTTTGAATGCATGCACATGTTTTATGATAACCTGCGTGCACCTTTGTAAGAATCCAGAACGGAAATGCTGAATTATTTTGATTTGATGAAAATGAAAAGTTGGACTGAGCAGCAACGTATGGGCTAGTTTCATTACTAAAGCTTGGAAATTAGACAGACAACACGTATGAAGGTATCACAGAATATACCCGTCATGTTACCCACAATCTGTATGTTTGGTTTCACACCTATGTACACATCTGAGTCTTTGGATATAATTAAGTATAAATGTCAGTACTTGTTAGCACTATTAAGTTGTACATATTTCCCAGTATAATGTTATGATGGTCAATTTGAGAATTTATCAGCAGTAAAGAAAAAGTCATTTAAAATTCTGCAGAGAAGTCTAGTTGTGGTTGCAGCTGTGCCTGCAGTACATGAAGAAAAAAATCTATATGTATCTTCATAAACTGATGATCACAGATAATAAAAAAAATCATCTCTCCTAGAAGTTACAGTTCAGCATGAGGTCTCTTGCACGTTTAATTTTGAGGTTAAGGAAAAAGTTAGGTAAAAAAAAAAAAAAAAAAAAACTTTTTGGGTTTAAGTTTTGCTGTCTTATCCACAAAGTGACAAGATGACCCAATCCAAGCTGACGAGAACGCACATCAGGCACACAACTATTTGTGTGACGCAGTGCATAAGGCACTGACCCTGAGTGAAATAAGTTTTTAGGGAATCCCATGCGGCCTCTGTGTGTACAGTTGAATGCCTATGCAACCTATAGTCAGAACAGCCACTCTTACTGACTCTTACTCACTCTGGGTTCATTTTTACAGAGAACTAAAACATGAAAATAAACTATTCCCCATTTTCTGGGGACCTCCTGGAATTCCCTCAAGGACCCCTGGTTGAGAACCACTGCTCTGGACAACAGTGTGAATGTCTAAGATCGTGCAACATGTCTCCATATGGAAAAAACCATGTATCTCTCAAAGTGGATATCATTTTAGTGGACAAGATCAAGTCAGTAAAATTAGGGGAGGATGGCAGAGAATACTGGCAAGGGTAATCGTAAATGGCATATGTTCAGAGTTAAATTCTAAATTTCTGCCATCCTCTGCAACAGAATTTACAGCCGGATGTTGTATATCTCCTTTAAACAAGGCGAAAACACAGGAAATCTGGACAGTTAGTAGACATTACTAGAAAAATTACAAAAAATAATCAACATTAAATCATATTCATATATTTTATTCCATTCTTTGTAAACAATACGGCATATTTATTGTAAAAAAAATTGTCAGACTGCTGTCCCTTCTGCCATCTACTGTCTGCCTGATTCCATGTGAACTCAGTATTAGTTACTACTAAAACGTAGAAAAAGTTTCTTAACCCATAATGAACAGTGGTGATGTGATTGAAGACTCACCTGTGAACACATGTTCAGATGGCATAAAGCTGCATATATTATCAGAATGTAGCTAAGGCACGTATTTAAATATGAAGACTCACACAGATTTACAGGAAAAGCTTGCTTGGCTAAAAGTCTCCTTTTGGGCTTGAGCACATTAAGTCACAGTGGTTTTGATGTTGCAGCAGATTAACGGTCCCAAATGATTTCCTCCGTTTTTCCACTTCACTCGATCCTCGTATCATGGAGGAAAAGAGGAGTTTAAAATCTTTGGGATGTCCCCCCTGGACTCACCAACTTTAAAACCACCCCACTTTTATCCCTTTGGTATAAAACATCACACACCAGCTGAGTTAACACGACTGCGTTGTGTGCGCTTACTGACATCACATGATTTCTGGGCACTGAACTTCAAATAGCTTTCTCAAATTGCCTGGTGCAGCTTTGAAGTTTGCCTACCAGTTGTGAATATTTATGGATCGTCCGAGATTGATTTCAAAATGACATGAAAGATGTAACCTCTGGCATCTTTGAGCTGATGATCTCAAACTGTTAGGCAGGTGTCTGACATATTACAACACATGCTCAGTCCACTTCAGTCAATTTGGGCTCTGACAGTAACACACTTAAATGTTTTATTGGCATCCTATAACTGCTCATTTGCAATGTGCTCACAGTTAGCTATAAGAGGCAGCGTATAGGGAATAAAAAAGTTCTACAGTACACTTATTAGTTTAACTCTGCCTTAATTGGACTTATTATGCATGCAAGAATGCACATAAATTAACTGTGTAAACAGAGCCGGCATAAACATTTCCTCTTGTGAAATTCATTACCACTTCAGGAGTGAGTGGGTCTACGCCCCAGAGACCGGCAGAGGAAAAGTAGTATGCAAGCAGAAAGAATTGGCACACAGCAGCACAACACTGTTGACAGTAAGCAAGAATAAGTTTAGTAAGGCTAAACAGACAGGCATGTTAACACTAGTGCAGCCAAAGTGGGAAGGGTTAAATCTCTTCAAGGGGTTAAATGTCACTGATTAGATGCTTCTGAGAGGTAAAAAGCAGCAGAGGAAGATGTGGAGAACTGTGGCTATGAGAAAATATCACCCACACATAACATTAAGAGATGTTATTTAGAAAAGGCAAATTTTTCCAGGAGTTTTTAATAAGTTTAAAACCCAAGACAACAAAGTCCCCTGACATTTCACCGCATTACCGCAGGAAGATTAAAGAATATCTTCATTATGGTGTTCCTGTTTTAAACAAGAGTATTTCGCTTTGTGCCCCCTTTATGCTCAGATAAGCTCCAGTTGCTTATCAGCCACAAGAAGACTTAGCGGGCAGAGAAAATTAATGGAGGAACATAAAGAACTTCCCGCAGGAAAAAGAAAAACGGGGGACAAACTATCTTTCTTCGGGAGTGCAGTTCACTGAGGTCAAAGGACTTCCTTATCTTGGGAAAATTTAGCACACTGTGGTCCTGCAGAATCATATTTAAAGGAACAGTTCGACATTTTAAGAAACACAATTGCTTTCTTGCTGAGAGCTGAGAAGATGAATATGTATCCTGAATATAAAGCTACACCCAACAGCCAGTAATGTTAGCACACTGTAGCATAAGAAAAAACAGGTGTGGACAGGGGAAGACCTTTAGACCACCTGGCTTGGTCTGAGGGTGCCAAACCTCTAAACCTCATTAATTAACATGTCAACTACTGATCGTGAACTTGTACTGATATCACTCTCATGTCTATACATTGAATATGAAGCTACGGCCAGCTGCTGGTTAGCTTAGAATAGCATATGATGCGACATTCACCAGTCAAAGTGTACATTTGTGCCAAATTTGGAGGAATTTCTTCAAAGTGTTCGTGAGATATTGTATTCAGGAGAATGAGATGGATGTGACAACACAGTAATCTTGACCTTTGACCACCAGTATCTAATCAGTTCATCTTTATTCCAAGTGGATGTTTGTGGCAAATTTAAAGAAAATCCCTCAAGCTGTTAACGAGGTATTGCATTCATGAGGATGAGATGGACACAAGGTCAAAGTGACCTTGACCTTAACAAACAATATCTTATCAGTTAACTGTTGAGTCCAAGTGGAAGTTTTGCCAAATTTGAAGAGATACCTTAACGGTATGCCTGAGATATTGTCTTCATGAGAATGAGATGGACACAAGGTCAAAGTGAACTTAAACTTGACTATCAATGTCAAATCAGTTCATCCCTAAATCCAAATGGATGTTTGTGCCAAATTTGAAGAAATTTCCTTCAGGCATTTTTGAGATATTATGTTCCATAAGAATTAGACAGACAAAGTCACAGTGACTTTGACCGTTGACTATTAAACTTGAATCAGTTCATCTGTAATTCCAAGTGGACGTTTGTGCCAAATTTGAAGAAAGTCCCTCGAGGTGTTGAATTAAATATTGCATTCACCAGAATGAGATGGACAAACAACCCTGCTTATACCACTCTCTTGTCTGTACACTAGATAAACCGTCTTTATGCCAAACTAAGCTAACTGGCTACTGACTGGAGTTTAATTTATTACTGTATTACTGGGCAGATGTGAGAGAGCTATTGATCTTCTCATTTAACTTTCAGCGAGTTAACAATTTATCATATTTCCCAAAATGCCGAACTATTGCTTAAATCAAATTTCAGCATAATACAGTAGCTTAAAGCTGAAGCAGTTCAAGTTAGTTCAGCGGACAGGAGCAAATGTTAAAGCCACAAACCCTCTAGCAGAAGGAAAAAACCACAGTCTTCCAAAGAATCAAAGTCAAATCTCCTAATACGTTTTCATTTTAACATGTAATTCCTGGCATAGAATTGTCTTGGGGACCCAGCCTGTCTGATTAACCTTACCTTCTGAGAGTAAAGGCGATGACGGGTCGTCATCCCAAACATAGTAATAACTAGTATTACCGTCCTCCATCTCACTGCTGGCTGCAGCGTTACCATTGGCCACGTTCTTGTCTGACTTTGACCCCATGAAAAACCTCTGCATGCTGGAGTTGAATCTAGTAAACAGATGGAACATAATCCCTAAATTAGAGATACTGAAATAAGTCAGCCCAGAGTACAAAATGGAAAGACATAAACAAGACTCACATTTGCAAATAGGGTTTATGAGCTCCAGATGAAAGGCTCAGACTTGTTTGAAATATAGATATAGCATGTATTCATTAGCCAAAATAAATTGTTTACTCTCCATACATACCATGGAGTGAATTTAGGGTGCCCTACTTCCTAAAAACCAGCATCAGCATTACACTATATAACAAATGGCTGAAATGTGCTGCTCTGTGTTAGAAGAGAAAAGGAAGGAAAAGTGTTCCCAGAGGCCAATCACGAGGCTTTCATAAGCCACACGGGCACTTCAATGAGACCATTTGAGTGCCATTACAGAAAAATGGATCACAAATACTGAACACGCTGCTGCTGCCGCCTGCCTTTGAACAAAATGTGTGCAGAGTAACACTGGCAACATCACAAGAGCTGCTCTGTCCCTTTCTGAGAATTTCAAAAGCTAAGAGTAAAACTAAAAATGTCTTGTATTTTATGATTTGCAATAAATAATTTAATGTCATCATCTTAATTATTATGGAGCCCAAAACTGACAAGCTGCAAAAAACAAACACTACCGTTAGTTAAACTGAGTGTAAAAACAAATGCAGAGCTTCTTTCAACCTCGAATCAAGTGATAAAGAGAAAAAGCTTGCTGGACTGAAACACTGTCAGCTACATGCACTGAACACCAGCCTTGTTAGCTAGCTACCTACAGTGTTGCCAGAACGGTTTGATGTTTTCCAGCCCAATAATTGCTCAAAATTCGCCCCAATTGATTTTTAAAAAAGCCCTAGCACTAGCAGCATCATCACAATTTGTTAATATGACATAATAATAATAAAAAACACTTGAAGTGTATGCATGTGTACTGGAACATGGATGGAAAGGTACACTTACATCATACGATGCAATTAAACTATTTTCTATTTCCGTCCTCTTTCATGATGTAACAGCTAAAATAGCAAAAATAATAGGTTTATCCAACTTGGCAAACTGCAACAAATGTTGAGTGTGTCATCTTACAGTGTGCCTCCAAAGCACACAGGCATTACCAGGGAGATAGCCGTGAGAGAGGGAGAAAGAGAAAAGTGCACACTACCAAAAACCCAAATAAATAAAGATGTTGCGATGTTGCAAGCATAGGCGGTGAGGTATCCATTATATGAACATACAGATTTGTAAAAAAAAAAACACTACAGTTTATTAGTGTTTATATGGTAAGTCACAGGTGGGTGGTAATGATGACAACTCATCTCCTCTCAGCAGAATGAAGACAAATTATGACATATCAAAGTTGTGCTGAGTGGCTACATTTTTAATATATAATAATTTTTAATGTATTTATAAACCAGCCCAACCTAGGGTGAACTAGCCCAAATTCTGTCCACCCACCTACGCCCATTTTACCCCACACAATGCAACCCAAGACGGCCCAACTCCATCCATTCTGGCAACATTAATGTCGCTACCCGGCTGTAGCTGCAACGTCATCATAAAACTACAAATGTTCCAACACCATTTTTTCCTTTCCGATAACTACAATAGTAATTTACGACATTACCTACAGACCGACAAAATTACTGAGTAAGAGAATTCAGATACATTTACATTAAAAAAAAAACAAACATTTGAAACATTGGTAAACTTGAGGGCAAGGATTTTTTAACACTAATGCTTTCAACAATTCTTGTAGAACTCTTTCCTCAAAAGAGTTCTATGGATAAAGGTACCCAAACTTGCTGTTGGCTGATAGAGTTCTAATCCGATAGCACTGTGTTAAAAAATATTAATCTACAGCCATATACTAACCCTGTACAGATGTGAAAGATGTTAAACCCTTTGTAAAACATGAATAGCTACATAAAGACAAAGAAAGACAGAGAAATTGCGAAACTGCTGACATTTTGCTCAACATTAATGTTACACTGTTTACTGGAAATCAATACTTCTTTGCATCTCTAAAACAGCAGGACAGTTACCAGCAGCTGCACAGGGCAACTTGCTGTGTAGCTGCTGTTTTAGAGCAGCGAAGAAGAATTGATTTCAAGGAAAACTGTTGTTTTATCCAAGTGTGAAACTCATGTTTATATAATAAATTACGTGGTATCAGATTAGTGCATGAACTTGCAAGATGGCTGATACCTGATCCAGAATTTTAGGTAGTATGGGAGGGATTTTCTTAACTGCTTTTGGAGCAGCAGAACAACATCAGCCAGTGCATGTTAATATTAATCTTGTGTACTGCTATTTTGCAGCATCACAATATAAACTGCTGTAACAGTGGCTATGGGATTTTATCGGGAACTGCCCATTGGTCCGACAGCCCATTGTTCCGACCATATTAAACCTATTGTTCCAAAGTCCGTTCCGAAATCATCATGATGCCCTGTGGTTAAGGTCTGGTTAGGTTTAGGCACAAAAACCACTTGGTTAGGGTCTGGAAAAGATCATGGTGTGGGTTAAAATGAAAAAGAAAGTGGCAAACACATAAGCCTTGAGCCTGCTCCGCCTCAAGCCTTTCCCAGCTGACCCAGAGCCTGTTGCGGCGCACCATCAAGGTAGAAATATGCCTGCCGGGAGCCGTTCAGCACCGCGGACTGTCGGACTAATGGGATGTCGGACCATTGGGCTGTTGGACCAATGACATGGACCCATTTTATCTGCCCCGCAAATGCTAACAAAATTAGCTAATGCTACTCAGACGTTTTGAGTTTACTTTGTTTGACATTATCCCGTTCAAATCCCCTGTCCATTCAAATGGACACAACTTTTCTGGGATGTCTAGCACTATAGTTACTGTCATCTGACTCCACCCAAGTGCACAAACTTAATTGATGGGATGTCCATAAGCCAAATCACAATGTTCAACATCATCTAAAGTGGACTGCAGTAAAGCCACGCCCCCTTTTTTAACAAGCATGGCTGACCATGAGGCAAGGAGGAACCGCATGGCACATTTCAGTCCATAAATCATATTGTTATAATACATCATTTGTGTTTAAACTGTGTTTAAAGTGAACATGAGATGTTATGTTACTTATAAATGTCATATGAATTAATCTTATGAAAATTTACGCCTTTACTCAGAGCTTCTTCAAAAACATCTGTCTACTGGAATGGAAGGTGGCTCTGTGTGTTGCCTAAAAATGAACAGAGAAATCCTGTTTAAACAGGGAAACACTGTTCTGATGTGATTTTCCGATGATACAATCAGCTTGTAATGCATTTTATTGATTGTGTACACAGAGTATTCATCTCAGGAGGTTTTCAACATACTGTTCACTGGAGACACCACAGGAATTAAGGATATTTTGAGTCATGAGGACAAACACAATGCAAAATATAGAGGCAATGTGTTTTAAAGCATCACTTTATTCATTGATGTGAGTTTACCATTCATTCAAAATAAATAATCTTGTATTTTTTGTTGAAAAAAAATTTGTTAAGACCATTTATTGTAAGTAGCAGTGTCAGTTTCTTATTACATTTTTTACAGTCAGCTACATTTTGTCAGTATTTGGCTCAGGTAAACTTGACTAATGACATTAAAAAGTAAAAGCTCCTGAGTTAAAGCATCAATAGGATTTTTTGTTGTTTGCACATTTGTGTCGTAACATTCTGCCCTGTGCTGTTATTTGTTTTCACAATTGGCAGCGTGTGTGCTATTTGAGGAGACAGAAAAGAAAGACGTAACAGGAAGGTCAGTCAGTGCTCTGATCAGGGCTATATAAAACCCACTCTACTCCATTTTGACTGGAACAGCCCAAAATGGTCAGCGGATATTTTTGGGAGAGGGGAGACATATGACAGCACATCCTACAGTAAGCACTTCTTTCCTCCAAATGAGAAAGGAGAGGAGTGATCCGGTTAAGCCTGTGCTCTTAGCCACTGCAGAGGGAGAAAGATTAAACTCTTATGGCAGGGAGAGAGCAGGCTGCTGCTGCTGAGTTTAACACAGATTACCAGCTGGACAGAGACAGCGGCACAGGACGACGTGGGTTGGCATTATGCAGTTTGGACTATAAAGACACAAATATGGCGTAATAGTGTCTGTATTTTAGGCAAACAATTTGCTCATACAAGCTGAAAGGCGACAGATTGAGACGGGAGATGAAAAGGCAGATTGTGACCTAAAAATATGATATGTACCCCCCCCCCCAAGTCAAGTATGTTTCAAGGGACAGCTGTTTTATGAAATAAAATGCATCTGAAATACGGATTCACGTTTAATTATCTGCTGAAATCAAACTTTAAAACACCTAAAATGCCAAATTGAAAACATCTGCAGCACTGAAAAACCAATTCATTCCAATTCAATCTAGAATTAAATGAATACATTTTTATATCTAGTAGAATTTTCAAAGACCCACAAATGAGAAACTGTAAAACTGTTTCCCAATAAGCATCATAATTCAACATTACTCATTAGAGGAGCAATCTTTCTACCACAAGGCTCCTGAGTTAAATCTCCAGCACACACGGGGACCTGGATGAGACCCTCCCCTGCAGCTGCAAACCCACTCTTCTCTCAATGAAACTACTGAGTGCACTCATCATGGTCAGCCCACAGGCGTTAGTGTGACAGAGTTTAAGCATCTCTACTCATGCACAAATTCAGGAATGTGTCATTAGTCACCTCAACTAATTGATTAATTTAGTAAGGAACAACTGAGTGATTAAAAATGTGCAGAACTCACTTCATGACAAGGATGTATCCAGCGTACATGACCACCAGCACCAAACTCTCCCACCTGATAAGAGGAAAGATACAGGATGAGGGTTAAAATGACACACTGTGAAATATAAATAGAATATCCAGGATCTTATGGCAAAGGTTTAGGACTTGGGACTTGTAAGTCTTGATTCAGGACGTGACTTCGGATCTGCCTGTCTTGAAGTTGGACTTGACTTGGGACGTGGGTGCAAAGACTTGAGACTCATTTGGGACTTGCAAAACATCGACTTGCTCCCGCCACTGCTAACTTGTAATGTAACATAGTTATAACATTATCATCGAAGTCTAAATCAGTAACATTAGTTTTAACACTACCTGTCAAGGGTTTGCTAACATTAGCTACCATAAGCTAACGGTCATACCAGATCAGGTAAGGCTTTAGCAGCAAAGTCACTAAGTGTGATTTTTATTGCTTAGAAATTTAGCTTTTTCATAAGATTGGGAAAAATATATTTCTTCTTTCAAAAGTTACACTCACATTTAGACATGGACTGGATGAGTAACTTACCAAACTATCTTCTCGTCGTAGATGAACTGAAAAATGAAGGAAAACATTTCTCTTAGACTTAAAAAAAAAACAAATTCAAAGATGAAAGTCATGGCTGGTGTTCATCAATAAATTCAATGTGTTCAAACTTACTGCAATTAAAGCCACAACAGACAGGATGTAGTAGAAGGAATCCCTGAAAACTGCCCACCAGGTCAACATCACCACCTGAGTTCACCAGGAAAAAAAAATTATTATTTAGATGTTTTCAAGATTACTTCATTTGTCCCAGTGGATATTTATGTTGGACATTAAAGCTGCCACATAAAAAAAGGTGCAGAAACAGATGTGAAGGGCATAACACAGACAAGTGCAAACATAAAGTGTATTCAAATAAGTGCAACGCAGGCCCTCATTTTACACCGTCTTTATGTTTTCAGTTTACAAGATTCTCTGATAGAGGAATGAAAGATCTTTTATGCATATTCAGGTATCTTGTCCTGAATTTAATTGGAACCCTGTTGCATTCATGTGATGGAACAGTTTGTATTCTGGACACATGACATGGGGGGTCTGTTCTTATGCACTTTTCATACGTTTTCCTACATAAATAATCTACCAAAATTTGTACATACTCCACATAACTCCCGTTTTACGTAACCTACACTGGCTTCCAGTATCTTTTAGAACTGATTTTAAAATCTTTCTATTGGTTTTTATGGCTCTTAATGGCACATTCTTGGAACCCATCGGCTGTATTTGGCGTCTGACTTCCGGCAGACGGCGATACAGCCTCTGGGGGCAGAGCCCTGATTTTTTGGCATTCCAGTTTGATTTGGGTGGAGGAGGCGAATTTCCGTTTCCGACTTCCGTTTATATATATAAGTAAATATGCTGAGCCATTGCGATGGATTCAGAGTTTGCAGTGACGGCAATTATGTTCCGCCTCGTTAGTTCACCGCATGGAGCGTTTAACCTGGCAACAACTGCAGCCGGCTCAAACATGATTGATCAATATCACACGGACTACAAACAGCCTAGCACCAGAAACCAGAGGTTTTCCGCTCTTCTTCTGGAGGCAAGATCTCCGGAGTTTGCCTACAGACTGAATGGAGAGTCTGTATAGAGAGACTATTAATGGCATAATCCCCTGCTATATCAGACTCCCTATCACCTTATGTCCCTCCATGAAGCCTGAGATCCTCCATAGGTGCTCTTTTTACTGTTCCTAATGTCACTACAAAAATCTTTGGGGATGCTTCTTTTAGCTGCTACGCCTCAAAATATGGAACACCCTGCCTTTAAAGGAGCTATATGTAAGAAATCTAAAGCAAATAGTCATAAAATCCTCCTAATATGTCACAGAGACTAAGGAATAATGTTCATATAACATACTGATCTCACCGACAACAATAGTACAGCCAGAATATTCGCATTTAAATAAAAAAAAATACGGTCTGCAAATCATGTTTATGTTTTGAATTTGTGTTTTGGCCTGTTGTGCCACCGCCGTCTACCAGTCACGCAGTCAGTAGAGTCTCAGCATCAGTTACAGTTACAACTGAGCAGCACGGCAAGCAGCATTAGCAGTGTCCGGGTACATAGCATTAGCAGCTGGCTCCTCCTCAGCTGTATCCCGGCAGCAGCGTTAGCAGCAGAGAAGCCGGACTTGCTTGAATGGTCCTCTTGAAAACTGTAGATCATTGACTTTGTTATGTTGTCCTGCCACGTCAGCTGCCTTTGTGCAAATAAATCAGTCTCCAGCGTGCCGCTGTCCAGCAACCTCGAATCTGTAGGGGAGGGGGGAGCGGACACGACTCACGGCAGTATTTTGAATTTGAGTGCAGTAACCGTTTTGGCCACATTCTTACATACAGCGCCTTTAAATATTAGACTTGCTGGCTCAGTGGACAGTTTTAAACGACGACTCAAAACATATATCTTTAGGGGCGTTGGTGGCTTAGTGGTAGAGCAGGTGCCCCATGTACAAGGCTGTTGCCGCAGCAGCCCGGGTTCAACTCCAGCCTGTGGCCCTTTGTTGCATGTCACTCACTCTCTCTCTCCCCCTTTCACACGTCTGTCCTATCCATTAAAAAAGGCTAAAAATGCCCAAAAAATATCTAAAAAATAAACAAAAAACAAATCTTTAATACAGCCTATAACTAGCAGCCGTCTGTTGTAATATTTTATATTTTTAATCACTCGATTAATTAAATAATTGAGTGATTACTTAATTTATCTGATTTCTCCTTAAATGAGTGGTGTATAATTGTATGGTTTTATTTCTGTTGTTTGTCTCTGCTGCTCAATTGTAAAACACTTTTTCATTCTGTGCATGAAAGGCGCTATATAAATAAAGTTAATTCATTCATAGGTAATCATGAGCCAGTAATCTGTGTACAAGCCAGGTATTAGGGAAGGCTGCATTCATGTGACCAATGCACTGACAGGTCTAAAGAGCAAAGCACATGACGCTCCCCCAGGACTTTCCCCTGGAGACTGGTTTTCAAAACTTTGAGTGAATTTTAAGACATTTTACGGTACGTCGTCACTATGTTTCTTTCTCTATACCTAGCCTACATAAGCGTACGTGAAGTACATAACTTTATGGTAATGATGTAAAGTCATTTGTGGGGCACTAATTCCTAGGATACCATACCAACTGTCATTTGTACATTTTCCTAAGCTAACATGCGAACTGTTGAATGAGGATATGTTGCCTGTTTCACAATAGTCGTTTCAAAGAGCACTTATAGAGGGAGGATGCTCACTCATCCCTATCATTTTCACTGCTGTGTAGACCAGTCTTTTTTTTTTTTTTTCATTTTAGCTTATTGGATATATTAACAAACCAAGCTAAGATACAGTAACATCATTTACACACTATCGCAGCATGATAAAATAATAAAGATATTTAATTGGGATATCTCCCATTGCCATCCCCGGGCTAATGAGTTTAATCATTACTTTATTTGAACAACTTGTCATTTATTTTCCAGATCAGGTTATTTTGTCATATTCAGGATATTAAAAGTAAAATGTTCCACACTTTTAGAGAAAAATGATCTGTTGACATATGGTATAAGCCGAAAATACGAACTTATTGTCTCATAAAGAACAGTTACAGTGTGGAACTTTACGTGAAGTATAATCTAAACAAAGGACAAAGATCCATGTGTGCACAGCCGCCCTCAAGACTGGAAGGTTTAACGCCACCCCAGAGGAGGACAGAATGTGTTTGTTGTATTATTTAGATGAAGTTGAGACTGAGGTTTACTTCTTGTTTTACTGTCTTGTATATTAAGAGATAAGGAATGCACTTTTCAGTAAGATGACCTCTATCTATGTTGATTTATTTTGGTTGGATGGTCGTGAAAAATTTGAGTTTTGTTTCAGAAAGGGAACCTTTTTTGTGGCTGACTTTCTTTGCCCCAGATAGAAGGCAGAGTATGCTGTTTCTGGACTGAACAGTGAAATAACATGTACTTTGGGTTGTTACTGGAATGTCATTGTAATGGTGTCTTGTAAAGCCATTGAGCACATGTAGGTGTGCATGACACAAAAAGAAAAATCAATCACATAATTCCCCTCTGTCGAACCTCAAACACTTTTCTTTAACTGCACCTATATGTGTTAGAGTTCTGTGAGGCAATTTGGTAAACACATGTGGTATCATAAAATGCACTTAATATGTAAATTTTACTTGACAGAGAACACTTAAAGAAACACAGATTTATGATCCATTTACGCCTCCAGAGTTTAGTTCTTCATTTCCACTAAAAACCAGTTCTGAGACAGCTAACTGAAGCAGATGGCTTTGTTTCCCCTCAGCAAAAAACTTCTGCCACACATGTGGTCTCCTGCAGTCTATAAATAAACAGAATGATGCAGCCAGAGCAGTAAGTCACTCCCTACACATACACACAAACACACCTGTCCAGCGAAGATCCCGCAGACACCGATGATGCACAGGATGTTGAAGACTGCTGAGCCCACGATGGTCCCCACCCCCACATCGCCGTGGGTGATGAAGACACCTGCACAGGGGGGAGAGACAGCCAATCAGAATCAGCGGTGACACCAACCATCTGGGAATGTCTGTAGTGTATGCACATACTGTACGTCTGTATATGTGTGTGTGTGTCTCTACCAATGACAGATGCAAAGAGCTCTGGTGCAGAGCTGCCAGCTGCCATGAAGGTGGCACCAGCAACATCTTCACTCAGATCTAGTTTCTGCAGGAACAAAACAAAGACGTCTTTGTTTATACTGAGGATTAACCGGCACTGTGTGACTGTTAACACTGAAAGTTTGATCACTATCTCGACCCCCCCACCCCCCCCAAAGTACCTCGCAGATCTTCTCCAGCGATGTCACAAAGTATTCGTCACATGTTATGGCGAGGGCCAGAAACATGTAGAGGGCCTGGAGACAGAAGCAGCAGAGTGAACTTTCAAGTGTGTGTATATGTGTGAGGAGAATCAGTGAGCGTGTCCCTGTGTAGATACACCCTTAATCAGCAGAAATTAGCTGAGTTAATAGAGCCTTGGCAGAGCAAGATACTCCCTTGCTAAAGGACGGGTGAAGGGGATTCTCAAAGCAGAGCGCCCAATTAAAATAAAGCCTGCATTAAAAATCAAATGTCAGTTCAGCTACAAGCCGCTTTCTCTTACATTTTAAAGAAATCTACAGGATCTGTCAGGATAGATGTGAGAGAGGAGCCTATTTCAGTAGCAGAGGCGTTCTCTATAAATTATAGATCAGCTGTGACATCATCACGGCCTGGCTGCCTCAGTAGCAGTGCTCTGCTCTATGCTATCCACAGGGGGCAGTGCAGGACTGCAGTATGATCAGAGGCCCCACACACTTTATGTTACTCCTCTCAGCAGTGATGCCAGGACAATAAGTCGTATTTCAGTGCGAGACACAAAGATTTAACGAAGTGTAAGCGCAGTAAACTGGACTGGTACTCTGAGTGTCCCAGGTGAGGATCTCTGTGCTAATATAACTCTCTATGGGGAGAAGTGCTTAAAAAAAGATGCTTGACTCATTTATGTCACTGAACTTGTCCTGTGAATACAAAAGGTCAATAGACACAGGGTGCGTTCAGGGCCGGAGCTACTATTGATTAAAATGGGGTCATCCCCCTCCATGTACTTTTATTTCTTTATGGCTTTACAGGTTTCAGCAACCAGGTGCTCTACAATTAAAAACATACACATGTTGAGGGTTTTTGACGCAACATGTTCAAAGGCTGGCTCCTTTTTTTTTGTTTGTTTGTTTGTTTGTTTGTTTTTTGAGATTTTTATATCATTGTGAAATTTCCAGTAGCACTCCTGATGTATTCAAATCCGAAAATTCAAATTTGGTCTGCATGTTTTAGCCTCAAAGTGCTGTTTTCCCACGCCACCTCTAAAAACCTTTCCTGCATGACCTGACATAAGTTTCTGTACAATGTCTCTGCCATATATAAACGTACAGCTGTGGACGCCACATTAGTTTGGTTCCAAAAGTCACGCAATAACAACTAAACTAAATGATCAAGGCAGCTGTAGACCAGCCTTAATCTGTGCTGTAGCCTACGTCACTGCTTTCTAACAGTGCTTTGACTGGGAGGTTCCATTTAAAAAAGAACACAGATGGACCTGCCCTTTTAATTTGAGTACTCTAAGGATAAGTTCACATTTTCTGAGGTGCCCCTATGAACATTGAAACAGGTTTGCTTGCTGTGGTCATTCCTCCTCTTTTAGGAGATCCCTTCCTCATGTGCTTCCAATGTAAAAGACAGAATCCACAGCCCTTAAATATTCTGCTCTTTTGGACCAAGCATGTTGCTCTAACAATCTTATAATGCAGCGTGTTCCCAATGAATATATCTCTTGTGTGCTTCACTCCTCCGCAGAGACTCTTTCTAAAGTCTGGAACCCTTGCTTAAAGTACATTGGATCTACGTTGTCATCTTCCATATTACAGGGGTTTCCTAAATTGGCTTAGTCTCTGTATATTGCCTGTAAACCTGACTTCTTGTAACCTTGCCATTTGCCTATATAGCTTGTTTTTTTTGTTTGTAGCTGCCTTTGTGTGGTTGTCGGAGGTAATGAAGGTCGGGGATGATGTAATGCCCACTATTTTCTTATTTTTAACTACTCATTTTATTTGTCACGTCCTGTCTGAGCTACTTTGCTCTGTGATGTATGTAAAAAATGTAGTAAATATATTCTTTAACACAAAAAATCCATAGCCCTCGTATTCAAAGTTGAATCTGAAGCTAATATGAGGAGTCAGCAGATTAAGTATAAGACAAATCAAGTGTGTATCTGCCAGTGTAAAAGTCTTTTTCGGTATTAAATCCCCTCTGTGTTCTCCTGCTGAGCTGCAGTGGAAAAGTTTACAACTTTAAGTCAGATGTGAAAAATTGTGAACCTATCCTAGAATCCAACAACATAATACATTATTAAGTTTCAGCAGTTTGAGAAGGCTTTGAAACAGCGTAAATAAAAAATCCATTAATGTCCATTTCATTTCTGGTTTCTGGTCAAATTTTTTCTGAGCAGGATGTGGAGTGTGCCAGGAGGGGGGTCCTCATGACTTCAGCATTTCTCAAATCCTGACTAAAACCCTGGATTGCAATTGACAAAAGGAAACTTTTTAAAGCCAGTTAAATCCAGCATGAAGAGCGAAACCTCCTGCTGAACAACACCTCAGAACTCCACAGGTGGCTTTATGTCGAGCCAGTGGAGCTTAGCATGACTGAACGCAGATGATAATGGTTTTTCATGTGGGGAAGCAGCTCGTACAATATAAATAATGGACATGTGTCTGTCCTTATTTCCTGTCCTGGGCCTGCATTTATCAGCTGCCTCAGCATTGTTCTAATCAATCATTCTTAAATTTAAACTCTGACTAAAAACACTCAGAGCAGCACTGACATATTTATGAAGGTTTCCACACACACACACACGCTCCTGAGTTTAAAGCTCTCCTTTGAGAGACATCATCGCTTTACGACACTCAGAACTGTAAAATTAAATTAATGACGTCTTGTAGTTGCTCAGATGTTACAACGTGCATTCAGTACATTCAAACAACTGTGAGGCTGATGCTAGTAGGGCATATTTGGTCTACTATATTACAAGCCCTATTAAATGTGGTTGTGCCTTTGCTACAATAACTAAGGAGACATTTATGATATAATATACTAAACGCACAGAGCTGGCTATTCAGAGAGCTTTCAGTCATATCCCACAGCCTTCCCCAGCACTAATGAGCTTCCCTCTATCAAGGATGTGAACCTCCATGCTCAAAAGTGGGGAGACCGGGGTTGGTTGGCACACTTTTCACCCTCTGCAGTACTTCTCTGGCATATTTTGTTAGAATATTCTAACCAGCTGGAAATAAAGGTCTCAGCTATAAATTATTATGTTTTAATATACAAATGTTTTCTAAATGATTTATTGGAATATTTAATTCAAACAAGAACCACAAAACATGAACATTTAATTGAATATCTGCTCATTTTTTTAAACAAAACAATTTAATTCACTTCATCATTAGGAATGTCTAATTACCTTTGTTATTGACCATTCAAAATAACACAAAATTAACAATATAATGCTGTTTTTAATCGTTAAAAATACAGTTACAGTCACAACAGCTACATTTCCAACCCCAAAATCAGTCTTCCAAACAACCAATGCTAATATTTAACCCAACTTTGTGATAAAATTACGTTAGCCAGCTACCATTAGGGCCTGTGTCCACATAGCGTTTTGTTCTCATCACCGGCGTCTCGTCAACTGTTTCCAGCGGTGAGAGAGTGTAGAGAAAAAGTGCTACGCCCAGCACCTTTTATCAGAGTACTCAACCATTTTTGTGCGGCCACTCCAAGCGCTTCTAAATCTCGGAACTTCTTAGAAAGGCACTGGTGATGTCACGCTACTCCTTTAACCACACTACAGTCACAACCGAGACAGAAAAGTCCATCTGTGGGATCAGATCAACCGGCGGACACTGGATGTTACCCCACTGTTTTAACCTTGTTGTTGACCGTTTAGTCAGCCCTCTGTTAACATAGCATTGCATTAGCTACCTAGATAGCGTCATTGTAAAGAAACAAACTCACGTCTTCAAAAAAAAAAAAAAAAAAAAAAAAAAAAGCGCTGGGAGTGCCTTTTTTTATGAGGCATTAGGATGTAGCACTCCCCGAATCTGCCACTGCTTTTCTGCTGAAGAAAGACACTAGGTGGACACAAGCCATAACTTATCACAGATTTTCAAATCTTACTGCAAAATGTAGCTTCCTCTGTCTAGTGACCGTAAGGAACACCTTTCCAATATCTCTAGCTAACAGTTTATTATACTTTTAGTCCACAGAGCACCTTTTTTACTTTCCACACTATAAAACTGAAATGTCACCCTCACCAAAAGTTAGTGACATTCAGATGTTTTAACATAGTAGATGAGTCCAGGTGAAGCAAGCAAACTTTATATTACATTTTTGTTTCTGTGACCTTTAAAAGGATGAGAAAATAGCTCTGTGCCAGCTGACCCCTGTCTCCCCTCCTACTGGACTGTTTCACCCATTTATTTTTTTTTTATTCTTTATATCTTCCTCACATCTGAGTGTGAGTTTACATCTATATAATGTCCTTCTAGCACCAAAATGGGTGGCGGATAATTTTAATATGATGAGTATATAATCACTTGAGCATTAAAAAGCTCCTCTGGGGCATCTTTACAATCTGGCTGAGCAAAAACGGCTCCCATAACCCAAACCTTCCTGCCCAGGCTTTAAAAGATAAAAACAAGCAGTTAGGCTTCAACATCCACCTGCAAACAGCTGAGCTCTACTGGGAGTGTCGACTGGGGACTGATGTGATGGGTGATGCAGGTGCAGCAGCTTTGAAAAAAAAAAAAAAAAAAGTCCTCTTACCGCCGCGATGTGGAGCAGAACGGCCCCGCTCTTACGTTCACTGGAGGTGAAAAGGTCATCGGGGAACTCGTGTATTGCTGAGGAGAGAGGAAATGTCATCGTCAACACACATCAGCAGCATGACAGCGAGCTACATGTCCCCGACCCACCCCAAGAGCGCCGAGGGATTTCACGATGGGTGTCGGTCTCAGAGGAGCCGACCTGCCTGGGGTGCCCTGTTGGTTCAGCAGGCTTACGCTGAATCGGATTGGTCGTGGTACCTATGGGAGTGTCATTCCTTCTCTTCGTGTTCCATCTCTTCCCACTGGATTATCTAATATGGCAAAAAAAATGTCTTGTGTACCTAAAAACAGGGCGCCGCAGCCAGAGAGGGTCAAATGCAAATTAAACAGCAGTCTGTGATCATTATCCAAAAAAAGCTGGAAACTCAGACGACATCAAGGGCTCTGAATTTTCAAAGGACTGAAAATCGCTCAACATTTTAAAATCATCTTCAGCCTGCGGTATGTCACACCACTCGGCAACCAATGACTTCATACCTATTCATGCAGAAAATAAATAAATAAAAAGTCAAACATCACATCTCCTCCTCAAATACTGACGTAAAAGCTTGAGCTATATTAAGAGCCTGAAGTCATACAGAATTAAAGCAAGCAGGCAGAAACACCTCCCATGCTGAGGACTCATCATCCATCATCCAGAGCTCCAGCTGGAACACAGTGTGATCATGGTACCACCATACGGCTCACATCTCTGGGAGCAAGACCGCTCCACAGTGCACCTGGCTAGAGACAGAAGCTGGCCGTCTCCCTAACGGGACCCGGCATCTGTGGTGAGCGGCCTCTGTCCGACCTGTTCCTTTTGGGCCCGAGCGGCAGGCTCACATCTTGTCTCTCCTTGTAAGAGGCCTGCAGCATCACTAGCGTATTACTAACACGAGCCACAGCTATGATATGATAAGATATGGTTATCCTTACTGCAGGCAGAATAAATTATCCAACTGGAGAAAAACAAACATATCTGAGAGTCTACAGTCATGCACAATGAATGTGTGTAAGGGTTACACACAGGGTTAGGGAGTCACAGTGGTCAAGGTGCAGCAGGTCTAGTTCTCATTGGATAACTGATTAAAATTCAGCTTTTCTTGTAGAGTATATATGTTTTTTATTTGTTTGTTTGTTTTTAACATACCCTGATGCCTGATGAGGGCTCTGCGCCAAACCTTGTCAGCTAGTGTTGCCTAGATGCTGCTTTTTTACACAATGACAATGCTACAAGATGCTAACAGTGATAAATTTTAGCAAGTACAATGTTCACCATCATAGTTAAGCGTGTTAGCATGCTAACACTTGCCTATTAGCAACAAACGCTAAGTACGGCTGAAGCTAAGAGTCATTAGTTTGGTCATGAAATAAAGTATTTTCTGACAATGGTGCTTGATTAAACGTCAGGGAAAACCAAAGTTAACAATTCATCCTGAGGGGAACAGGACTGAAGCCGATCTAGCAAGGAATCTGTCTGTCTGCGCGTTCATCGCCGATCTCAAGAACACTCCATCCTGTCTACTTGGGACCCAAGGACATGCAGTGTTGAATTTGGACTTACGACATGCTAAATATAATACATTTTTAATAAACAAGCCAACAGCGCTCTGTGCAGCAGCAGGGGCGAGGCTTCAGGGCTCTGTATACTGAGTTTGCTTTTGCTGCTGGATGACAGATATACTGTTACAATAAAACTTCTCTTTACTTCCCTGAAGTCAACGGCACAAGCAGATAGCATACAGGAACAGCACCACTCGTTGCCATTGCAACTTAAATTGTGTCAGTTTAGTTTTAAGTTTAGTTTAAGCTTATAACACTAACTATGTTACCACCTGCAAAAATACCTCCGCTAATTAAATCCATGCTCGACTTTATAACAACAGTGGTTATGTCAAATGTAAAGGCAAGCAACTGATACACCTATTTAGAAAATAAATACCATCGCTAAGTGTATGTCAAACAGGCATGTTTTGAACAGGTGCTGCACCATTTCACCAAATTAATTGGCAATTATTAGCTATAGAGACATTTCACTGAGGGCTGCATATTGAAAATTTAGGTGAGGGTCCTAAAGACAGAGGGATGTCGTATGCTGTAAAGCCCTGTGAGGCAAACTGTGATTTGTGATATTGGGCTTTATAAATAAAATTGAAATTGAAAATTTACCTTCAACACAATAACATGCGCAATGTAGGTATTGCAGAAAATGGCTTGAACTGCAATTAATAGTAGGCTATATTTACATGCGCCATGCATGTCGTGTTGAAACAGTGGCACCGGGTGACTTCTTTTTTTTTTTATTTAGAAATTTTTTGGGGCATTTTTAAGCCTTTAATTGATAGGACAGATGAGCATGAAGGGGGGGAGAGAGAGAGAGAGAGAGAGGGAGTGACATGCAGCAAAGGGCCACAGGCTGGAGTCGAACCCCGGCCACTACGGCAACAGCCTTGTACATGGAACGCCTGCTCTACCACTAAGCCACTGACGCCCCGCCGGGTGACTCTTCTGTCATAGAAACCACTGAGAGGGACATGTGTTTTGAATGTTATTATCGTACTGTCAGTGATGTGTCGGTGTTTTTGTTCTGGTGCTCTGCACACATCTGACATCTGTCCACACGCCCACCTGATCTCACCCCCGGCTCTCTCAAGCTTGGAGCATCCCTACTTTGTGGTAAAGACAGAAGGGCGTCACAGAGGTCCACAAGGACCACCGGAAGACAATAACATTGTTTTTTAAAGGTTCATAAAATACACTCAAATTCAAAAAGAAGTAGGATACTACTCCAGACATTCCTACTATCTTAGGTTGCAACATCTGTCGTGACAGCAGATGCTATATTCACTCATGTCAGTGACCATGGTGCTTTACACTAAACTCAACTAAAGATGTGACATTTGTGTAATGTTTTGTACATAAGACTGTGTATAGAGATATAGTCTGTGGTTTTGTAAATAAAGTTGTCAGATTTGGGATTTTATTTACCTTTCAAATACATTTTAAACATGAATATAACCACAATTATAACCATAAAACCTCAAACACAAGTTAAACACTACAGTTTGACAGAAAACACCTTTTGTTGGGGACCCATTCAAATGACCACCTGTGGGTCCAAGGGGCTTACTACACTGAAAACCTACCAACATCACTGTATGTCATTGTTTTAATTCATTGCGTATATGCTACTTATTGGCTGGGGTTTATGTTAGTAGTGCAATCCTGAAGCAGAAAGTCATTAAAACTGTGTACTTCAATATTCACTCACTCAGTACCACAAATATCAAACATCAAAGCCCGTATGATTCAACCTCTGGGCACCAAGAACATCTGAATGTCAAGGCAATCCACGCAAGACTTGTTGATATATTTTGGTGTGGATCAAAGTGGGGACCAACCTTACCATTCCTCGAGCCATGCCGCCAACATGACTAAAAAGCACACACATAGCCAAATATATGGGACTGCTTTGCTGTGTTTCTACTTCTGCATAGTACTGTTTGAAAAATACACATACACAAGTGATGTGAGAACAAACTGCTGTACTGTGAGCCAGCAGAACAATGCTGTTTACAACTGCAAGATTTGGGCCCCTGTCACATATGGACTCGTGAAGCGGAACAGTGCTCACCTGAGACTTCTCACTGCATCTGTCCCAGCCTCACCATCGCCTGTTTTTTTATGATACTCGACGGTGTGCACACATGACTGAATCAGCGCAGCGCTTGGAACACTGCACAGGCAAATCAAACACTCCACAGTATGCAGGTCCAAGCCCACTTAATCAACTGCAAGCTCCTGGATTTCACTCAATTACATCATATATGGAAATGTGGTACATTTTCTCCATATGTCATCTAACACGTTAGCTTTGCTAGAAATAGCATTGTAGTTTCTTTGTGTTGTAGCTCTCTGCTCTGTTGCTGCGGGACGCAAATTAATCCGGCCTTGATTCGCAGGAGTTTTGGTGTCTCGCTGCGGCACTAAGACTGCCTCCGTGACACAATAAATGCAACTGATTAGAGGACAACATGATAATAAAAAGGATGTGTGAGTAATGTGTGAATGACCTTAAAATATGACAAACTGAAAAACACCGGGATGACATTGAGCTCTTACATAGCAACACCGACTGTGGCAGGCAGCTTTAGCTCATTTCATCTCTGACAGGTTTATGTGCTGAATGAAACGTGTCGGAAAGCTGACGGCCTCAAGCAAAGGGGCAATCAATTACAGGATTTGTCAGCTGTGCCCTCAGAGGTGGCTGAAAACAAACTGAGGCCAATACAGTAGGCTAAACTCCTACTGATACCTCATGGACAAACAGCCCCACAACCATGTATTATTCTAGCCGCTGAAGGTTGCCCGTTCTGAAAAAACCATAAACCATGGGGGAAAGTATCAGGTTTGAATTTCCTGCTGTCCAGGCCTTTTCACCTCCTGCTTCCACGTTCAGCCACCAAACCTGCAGGTCCGCCTTTAATCAATAATTAAATGCCATTGCCATCCATGTTCTTTGGTTACATGTTGAGCCCCTTGCCTCTATACACAATCAAGTCTGGCTGAGAGCTAATAAAAAATAGGTGACCACAAAAGGTGTTTAAAGGGCGCCAGCACAGGGATGGCAGAGAGATGACAGGCAGGCGGGGGTCACCTCCCAGTGACTGTAAACATTTAACCAGACAGCGTCTACAGGGTTCGTCTGTGTCTCCCTGCTGCAGAGGTCAAACCGGACGCGAACATGCTTCTACAGCCGATTTCCCACGCAAGGACAGGACAGGACGTACCCACAAGAGCAGGACAACACGGATTGCTTCAGTGATGCATCTCAAATGCGGTCCATTAGTAGAAACATAAATAATATGTAGCTTTGTTGAATAAGGCGTCATTTTTTACAGAAATTATAACGCATCTGATGTTTCAAATCTGTTACAGTAATTCATCAAGCAAAAATGACCAAACGTTTACAGGTTACAGCTTCAAGAATACAGAGGTTTTATTGATTTCTTTATTGATTTCTTTATTAACTGCAT